GGCGCATGAGCTTTCGCCCTTTGGCCCAGAACTCTCTGTAAGGTTATGGGTTTTGTTTGTGTTTTTTCCTGACAGGGCAAAAGTAAAACCGTAATCTGCACTGTCAATGGGGCCCTAAATCCTAGGACTCTAAGGGCCCCTGCATATGCCGACAAAATGGTAAATACAGACAGAAATGGTAGTTTGAAAACAAACAAAACGACCAACTGTCAATAAAACATAATGGTGCTTTGTTGGCCTTGTTCAATGTTTCGTGAAATACCCTTTTCCGTATCAGTCTAATGACTCTTCAACACTCTATCCCAAAATATTTGTGCTTTAGAATAGCAATCTTGTGTTTGCGTTAGCACTTTCGATGAATGCCTCATGCAGTTAATCCGTGTGCATGCTACTCGCTTTTCCAGATACTGCAGTCTCTTTCAATTTGATTTGACAAGGGACAGCATTCCTTGTGATTTTTGCTGGCACAGAAGCGGGGCAACTATGGAATAGCCAGTTTACGGTGAATGAGTGAGGTTCAACCCCGCAATGACCGCACAAAGAGCGATCAACACGCGGTGACACAAAGTGCCACCATTCAGATGAGGATTACCAGGGTACAAGACCCAGAAACCCTGTTCATCCGTTAGGTTGTATTAGGGCCCCGACAATAGGCGGGTGGGGGCTAAAAGATAACAAAATATTGCCCCCAATATTGGCATCGGCGACCACGTCGTCCATAGGCTGGCCGGTAGACGACTTCGTCGCCGGTCGGGGCAGTATTTGGCTCTGCCTCCCATGATCACATCAACACTGCAAGAGATCTTCTCAGAGCTACTTGGCGGTGTGCAGTGCTAAGCCATTTTTTATGGAGCACATAACCTAAGGGGGGTTACAATTATAACCTAAAGCTTTCCATTTGGGGATGCTGGTCGAGCGTGACAATTTGTTTTTCAGCAAACCAAGCCAAGTCCTATATGGGGGCGGAGCTAATATAATGTGTTTACGGTGAGGGTGGAAATGCGATTAACTTTAAACAGTAATCTCATGGTCTCAGTGGATTAACTAAGTACAGCAATCCTTTGACGCGAGTGTGACATCGTGCTTGATGAGATCAATAACGTTGGTTGAGTCTTCTTTACAGGACATTTCAGAACCAGCTCCGACATTTTTTGGCTTTTGTGGTTTTTTAGGCAAATTTTATGTTTAGTAGTTTGCTATTGCCCCTAAACGGCCAGCTATCGGTACCACAATCGAAACTAGAGCAAGACAAATCGTCCGCAGCTTTGATCGAACCCGGTACCCCGGCATTAGGAGCCGCGTTCGCAACGCTTAAGCCACAGACGCCGACCTTGATTTGATTCAAGAACCGACATCACAGCACTCGGGGCATTCCCATAAGCAGCCAGCGAAGAGTTCCGATACTTATGGTGCCAGTAGCATTCTGATTAAACGTCCGTCTTGCCTTTCCTCTAAGCCTCGAGCATCTGCCAGAACCTCTCGTCACTCCCCGCTGCATCAATCTCACCAGACTGTGGTGATCCATTTGCTCCTCCGAACTGTACACGCTTTCCTACATCTGCCTTATCATGTATCAGTATTCCACCAAGTTGCGCAGAGACAGCCAGTCTGTCCGCCTGTTCATTTGCCAACACACCGGCGTTCCGGTGAAAAAATCCAGACAATACTCCTCAGTTGTGTCCTCAGCAGCGAAGCATGCCACTCTGCATAAAGCATACCTGTTCTAATCTTCCTCAGCATACTTTCTGAATCAGTTACAATCACGATATATATATATGTGTGTGTGTGTGTGTGTGTGTGTGTGTGTGTGTGTGTGTGTGTGTGTGTCGTGTTCTCTAGCCAGCGGAAAGCTGCAGTGACCGCCTCCACCTCCATTCTTAAGCTGGATTTTATGGTATCATATGTTAGGCTATCCTGCACCAAACGTCGACCATTAACTTTTGCTAAGAAGCCCCAAGCACTCCTTTTGCCTTTTGAAACTGAACCGTCTGTGTAAATGATCAAATCCTCTGAGCGAGCATTATCGAATTAACTGCTGAATTTCCACCTCTGTGGCACCTGCTGGCCAGTCTCTGCATTCCCGGCTCAGCGTGATTATGACTCTACACAAATCTGACTGTTCAGGTGGTACTTTTACCCACTCCTCTCCTCGCCTAATGTTCTCAAGGATGCAAATCTGTCTGATTGTGTCTTCTGCCTGAGCCATTCATGACCTCCTTGTTATCAGCCGCTGACCCTTAACTGCACCCAGAGCTTCATACAGAGGGTGGTCTGTGTCTGCAGCTATACTGAGTTATGACTTCGCCTGCAGCACCTTGTGCCGACCTTGATGAGATAGAATCATATATTTATAGACAAATTTGCACTGATTGGCTGAAGTGGTCCATATCACGCTGCTGCATTTTCTTCTTAAGACATCACCCATTTCAGGCAAGGCAGACCTAGGAGCCAAGGTCAGTTTTAAACAAGAACAAAAATCCGACCCGACGCGGACTCAAAGTGTCTACCTTCGTACTAAAAATCAAAACAAAGCGCTACGCTAACAAATACCCTGCAGCTGACCCCGAACTCCGTCCGGTTTATCAAGATTGTGAAACTTCGTTCACAATCAAATATGACAGACACTGACAAAACACCACTGAATAGATAGCCGGAGAAAAAAGTCATCAATCACAACAATTTGAAGAAGAAACTCAGTGTGTTTATAGACACTTGTAATGAAGCTTAAAAACAGAAACCGTTCGGTTATAAACAAATGAATGATCTAATCTTATACAGCCTTGTAAAGTACATTGCAATCATCGGTGCGGGAACCTAGGGTTCATATATCTTGAATGCCCCACCCCTAATTTGTATTGGAGCGCCGACTCCCTTAGACATGTATAAACATGTATATTTTTAAACATGTATTTAGTCATTGCATATTAGTCTAAATACATTATTATATATTTTCCCCATACAGCAAATTTTAACAATTACAATTTTTGCTATTATTATTGCGGAATTAAACAAGATGTAAAGCCCTTGAGGCTCCTCGCCCTAGAATGTTATAAGAAGACTGAGCGCCTCCCCCCTCCCCCTCCCCCCCCCCCCCCCCCCAATTCCCTAACGTTTACAAGATGACGGCACCGCTGATTGCAGCATTCTATGTCACATCACTAAAGTAAATGTAGATCCTAAATGAGCATCAGAGCATTTACCAGTATTTTTAATAGACATAATGATTGATGATTATGGCGCCTGAATTACGTTCTCATTAAACTTAATGCTAACAACATACATCATGCCTGAATATTTCAAACAAATCGCACATCATAAGAAGACATAATACATCGTTAAGTAGGCGGAAGACTAGCAGGTGCAACACCTAACGCACAGGAAGCAAAATTCACGTCATTGTGACGATTACAAGGAAGCCAACAGACTGCAGCTGTTTGAGATAATGTTGTGAATAACTCTTTTCTTCTTGTTTAGTTCGCCTGAAATAGATTGTTTATATCTGCAGTGTCGTCTCTAGTATGAACTTCACTGTCTGTTGTAATTCAGCCAGCGAGCTGTAAAGTTTGTCTTGCACCGGAGTTTATTAACAACTTTAGTTCACTCAGTTGTTGTCTATTTCTGGACTTATCACTAAGCATTTTGCAATTACTTTCTTCATTTGCTACTTTTGTTGTTTATGCAGGAGGGTCTTTGGGCCTGAAGATTTTAGGTCACACGGCTAATGCAGTCGCCACGGACTGTGCAGGTTAGGGTTTTATTTTTGCCTCTGAGAGAATGCAATCCAAATGCCTTACAGAGGATTCGAACCTGGGTCTACCTCATGAGAGCCCAGAGTTCTTAGCTATTTGGCCAGCCACTCCTCCTCACTATGCATTCACACTAGCGTAAGATTATGTTAGGTAGACTGAATGTATATATAAAGACCTTGTTGTTTATCCCTCACTATGCATTCACACTAGCGTAAGATTATGTTAGGTAGACTGAATGTATATATGAAGACCTTGTTGTTTATCCCTCACTGGAGGATAGACAATCAAACAACTCAGAGTCGTTTAATAATTTGATTTTTGTTTTATCGCTATCCCCTTTTTTCCATGTTGTTCCCTTTCTGTCTGTCGGTCTGTCTGTATGTCTGTCTGATTATTCGTCTCTACATCCATCGATACAGTTCCGCCCACCTCACATTACTCATCTCTGCCTTTCTCTCCATCTATACTTCAATATGCTTTAACTGACCCATGATTCAATTTATTCATTAATTTGCTTTTGCGTTGACATGTCAGTTCACCCCCCCCCCCTCCCAAACCAACTATCTTTGTCTGTTTGTTTGCATGTCTTTCAGTCAATCTGTCTGTTAGTCATCCCTTATTCTGTCCGTCCAACAATCTGCTTGCCGGACTTTATATCTGAACCTATAAATATATTTACGATAAATTCCGTCTACTTACAAAGGAGGGGGTTGTTGATTTTTATTGTTAACGCTTCGGCGATTATCAAAAGTCTCCTGAGTGAACTGAGAAACAGCTTGGAAATAGATTGGCAGAGCACATACTCAAATGGCTACATACACAGCTTAGTGACCCTTCTAGGGTGTCGAGACAGTCAAGAGGAGAGAACCCGCTTCTTCCATAGGACGTCGTCTACCTAATTCCGGACACATAATTGACACAGAAAGTGCTTTCCGTGTGGTTTACCACACTCCGAACAGGAGACTTTTGAGAATCGCCGAAGCATTAACTATAAATATATGATTGCATAAATGCGTGCAATGCCTGTTGTAGGATCTGGCCAATGACAACTCACAATTGCAGTAAACAAGATAAAAATCACTAAAACAGCTTGACTCCACACGCCAGTCTCAGTTTAGTTGGGTTTAGTGACCCAAATCCACAAACATCTAATCGTTTGTAATAAAGGTTCTTTTTACCAACAAAGCAGTCCTTTCTGACACTCCACTGTTAAGGAGAAGGGAAGAAAACTTTAAAGACAAGTAAGCAGTTTTAAAATGTATCGCTCCTGCTTCTGACAATCTTCTTCTTGAAGGCTTTCTTCATGTTGACAAACCTTGACCTCTTCTCTAGTCCGGCGACGTTTTCCGGTGTTGGCGCAGACAAGCTCTTCACCAGCTGCCGTTTGATCAGGACTAGAAGCTCCTCCATTGCTTCGTTGACTCCTTCTTGACCCTGCAAATTGACCATATCCAGTGATGATTACCACATTATTCTTTTCTATGAAAGTAGTAAACTCATAAGAGAAATTAGTCGTAGACGGTGGGTGTTTTTCGGACATGCCATGAGAAGGAACAAAATCGAGAACTTTGTAAAAACTAGCAAGATTCCCAGTAAAAGTTCCAGAGCCCTGTTATTGAGGTGGGGGGGGGGGTTAGGGGGGGGGGGGGGATAGACTGGCTGCCTACCCAAAACCATGTCGTAAGAATGGACTAATAAGGGGCTTCCTTCGAGGTCGGAGTGCATCTGCCTGAGAGGCATGGAATCAACAGTCTGCATGTAAATGAGTCAGATTTGTGCAACACTCAGCATCTGGAAGAGAACTGCAGTCCAAAAGTGGACGAACACCCAGAACTTTCCACCTGATTTTACAGCGGGTGAACACAAAGCAGAAATAAGAGACTAGCAAGATTGGTGGAAAGAGAGCAAGTGGAAGGCAAGGAAACAAATACCTAGCCATATGGATGGGATGAGACAAGAACCCTGACCTACTCTGTGATCTGGTGATCGTATCAAATGGTGAACCATGACAACTTTGCTTATCAGCATTGCACATGCTGATGATGGTTGATAACTGTTGTCACCGGGGAAAAATAAATTATCATCATCATCATAAACCACTTATGCCATAAAGCGACGGGGGAAGGAATAATTTGCGATCCAGTGCACGCTGGCTGCCACTGGCTATTGTCATGCCGTAAAGACGTAGAGTGTCTTTAATGTTGTCGAACCATTTTTTTCCGCGGCCGTCCTCTTGCTCTTGTAGCTGATTTTCTGAGATGTGCTTGTGAAAGTATTTGATCTTGCTGCATTCTAACAAAGTGGCCAAACCACTTGATGAATCTAGTACAAGGTGTCGTTGGCGCAATTTGTCTGATATTATCATTATTCACTCGATATCGGATGGTTAGGTTGGCTGCTTTTCTCAGACATCTCACCTCGCAGGTGGTGATTTTGTGTATATGGGCTTTAGATAACGTTCATGTTTGGCACTGGTAGCTTAATATCTCTATGCACTCATAGTTAAGTTGGTATCTACGTGTATTTGCTTTCTGACATCTGGTTTCTATTTCTCTGTCAATCCTACCATCTTCCGTGACCGTACTTCCTAGATATTGAAATTCCCTAACCTGATTCAGACCAGAACCGTTCAGCTGTATGTGTTGTGGGCCAGAGGTGGATTTATAAATAATTACAAACATTATCTTGAATTCAAGTATACATAGAGGATAAGCTTTATACTTTACCTTGACCTTCATACCAATCGAGCCTCAAAAGGAGGCAAGGAAATGTCATGGGAAATAAAGAAGGCTTGCGTGATCAACATCATTCCCAGAGGAACAGTCTATCTATATAAAATACTGTGGTAGCACCAAATACGCGATGCGCCTTGAAAGGGTCTGTATTACAATATTGGCCAATTTTACTTCCACAGATCGAAGACAAAGAAGAAATTTATCTTCAGGTACCTGATGAGTTTTCTAATGATAATTATGAATACAAGTTTGATTACATGGTTTAAGAGGTTGACTGCACAATTGCTGTTGGTTGCTAAAAAAAAAAAAACAGCAACACACACACACTTTAAATACAGATTACAGAACACTAATTGGTTCTCAACTACCACTAGTAATTAAGTATCAAAGAAGACACAAACAACAGACTGATAACATATACTGCCTGACATACTAAGATGTAACTCCTCAGTTGCACACTACAGTAATATTTGAAAACAGTTAGGCTTATGCAGGATGGGTCATGTTGATGGGACATAATGTAAATGCATATGTGGAACACGTAGGAAGCAACATTTGTTACCAAATGTATAGAAAACACTACCAAAGGACGGGAGTTCTGTATTGTGTTTGAAGATTACATTCCTGAGATGGACACCACCTTGACGAGATCATTCTATGGCTCTAACAGTCATGTTCAGCATAGCTTTACGCAGGGTTTCGGCTGGGATGGCGCCATCTCCCTTAGGATGTTGTCCTTCAGTTCACCGATGGTATTGAGCAATGAAAGAAACATGTAACATTAATTCTTATCCTTACACTTTCTACTAAGCTGTATCTAAAACAAGCACGACAGTTATTGTTCTCAGTAATGTCAATATCAATGTGTCCTAGCAGTATTGACCACATCACGCACCGAGTTCCGAGTAGTGAGTACCTAGCATTACATACAAAACACGCCAGAAGATGTGGAACAGCTTCCTTGTTTTATACATGGGTCTTTCTAACTGAAATACAACATCAGCTACATTTAAATCAATAATCACCCCCGTGTGTGTTCCAGGACCCCCATTGTGGGGAAAAAAATAATAGACACGCTGTCTTCCCAACAAAAATGTCGCAGCAGTCGACTAATTGAGGACTTCCTTCAAAGTCGAAGTGCATCTGCCGAAGCAGCAAAGAAAAATCAACTGCTTACACATAAGAAAGTAAAACGGATGTACACGCAAAAGTCAGGCCCTGGCACAAAGCCAAAGTCAAATGGACCAACAGCCAAGACTTAACAGACCAAGAAGACGTAGAAATAAATAAGTCGAAGAAATAAAGAAAGAAGAAGGATGCCACAGGGGAGAAGACGAAGAAGGTCGAGGAAGGAGTAATATGGGTGTTGTGACAACATCTCACTTCAGCAACGGAAATCTGAAACCTGGGACAGTCCATCTCCCCGGCCAGGTTGTCGCACTCGTCCTCCGTGACCGCACGTGCTGTCAGAAGGTCATGTTTGTTGGCCACCAGCACGATCGGTGTGTCAGAGCCTCGCAGCTGAAAGATCATCTCCTGAAGCAGATAAATAACATTAGTTGAATACAGTGTCTCAGCTGGTGCCAGTACTCCCCATAAAGTATTTAAAACTATGTCTGTACTCGCCTTAATGTGTCTATTATAGTAGCGATGACAAAAAATGATGCATACAAATGTGCCCGAAAAAGTCAAAAAGTGTCTAGCATCTAAACAAATGTATCAGTAATCATCACAGGGTCATATGTGTTAGTGTCACATAACGTTGGTGTCACGTGTCTTTGTTAGGGTTTCCCCCAATGAAACAAATAGACACTTTGAAGTAGTTTAAGTATTGAGATTTCGGCTTGCAATGGTCTAGGCTGTATCCAGCAGCTCCATATAACATCTAGCCTACTTCAGGGGTGAGGCGACTTAGATTATTGCACTACAGAATTTCATAAACATTCCTAGTCGCAACTTAGACTGACCACTACTTGTGAAACCCTCAGACTTGTTAGTACTCCTATGCTAGTCAAATTAATAAAGTATAACATGATTTACAACAATACAACAAATACCCCAGACAACTTCGTCGAATAAGCAATGAAATAGGAAACAAATGGTTCGTCGAGACGATGACATCCAAGAAATCCTATGATACGAAATTTGTTGAGAAAGACTAAGTGCGATAGACTGAATTTCATCCAAGATATCGATAGCATAGCAAAGGAAAGAACGCAGTGGAGAATTATATAAACAAGCCTTATCTTACGTATAACGGCTTGGCAGAATAGTGATGATTAGGGATATTGCTCGACCGCAATCAGAATAGTTCGGTTTCAATCTCCAGAACTGACAGGCCTCGTCAAATACCAGGACACTTCGTTTTCTCGTTCTTTCTTCTTCTTCTTCTTCTTCTTTTTCTTCTTCTTTGTAAACCATTATAATTCCACTTGGACAAATTTAAAATAAACAGCAGACAATTGTCCCGAAACCGTGATGGTAAAAATCAAAATATTTTCTTTGCTGTGCATATTTTTGGACACTTGCAACAAATGTGTAGCTATTATTTTACCAGCTCTACACATATTTCAATTATTATCAAATCTTTAATATAATAGTATTGGAATCTCAAAAAGTAACTAAATACAAAACAAGCTGTAACTAGAATGTTAACAGAGGGAAATATATCTCAAGTACACATTTCGAACAGATTCTTTAACACCGGGAAAGACAATTGTTCAATCCGAACAAGTGACATAATCAACATGGATCGGGAAATACCCCTCCCTCTGTTCAGGTTTATGGTCAAAGTTTGTCTCTGTGTTTAATTATTTTTTTTATATTAGCTCAATTATAGTTATTCCCGTTAGTCACTACTTTCAAATTGGAATTCCAGCTTGTTATGTCATATGGCTAAGGTAGTCAATTGCGTCTAGCAAAACCTAGTCTTTCGACAGGCCTGGTTTGGTGTAGGGTTACCTACCATTCTTTGCTTTATCCAGGTATTGACAAGGGAACTGGTTACTTACCATTCTTTGCTTTATCCAGGTATTGAAAAAGGAACTAGATTGTAAATGAAGGGGAAGTCATAAAGTGTTATTCACGATACATCAAAGGAAAAAACTACTTGTTCTAAAGTAACTGTGCGCCTATGCTCTATTTTGAAATAAATGGCAGACGAAGAGGAATTCATGCGTAGACGATGAAAACTCGTTTAATTTTGTCAATAAAGAAATAAAATAAAAATGGACCTTTAGCTTGTGGGCGTCCTGGTAACTGTGCCGGTCAGTAACGGAGTACATCAAAATAAAGCCATCAGCCCAGCGAATGTGCTTTTCCAATGTGTCCTGTGGCATCTGCAACAAGACAAAATCAGACATAGGTATTACTTTTCAGCCTAATGAACAATATGGATGTACAGACTGGCGTTCACAGAAACAGAAGTAACCATCGACAGGTCTGAAGGAGCGTGTTTTGGCAAAGGCACGACTGAGGATTTAATCACTGTTATGTTATACTGATTAGTTGCTTGTCATTTAGCATCAGTGATCGCAGTTCTCTCCAAACCCTTTCGTTCATTAACATTGTGCATGTGTCCGTGGTGACAGCACTAGCCATGCGACTTAGAATTCTCAGTCTAAACAAAAAAAAAAAAACAAAAAAAAAAAAACCTGCCCGCATCGCAAAAGTGGCCTATAAAGTCAAAATACTTTCTTTGCTGTGCATATTTTTGGACACTAGCAAAAAATGTGTAGCTGTTATTTGACTAGCTCTACAGTGACACAGAAAGTAGTGATATTTTGGCTGACATTATGTATTATCCAGTGATGCATCATAGGTCATCAAGGAGAGACAAAGATAATGCGAATAAATCAGGCAAATGGTAATGTGGTTTCTCTTAATGGCACTCCACTCCAAGACGTGGAGTCGTACACATATATGTCGTTTTCTATCAATGGTAAACAAATCTTCGATATTTTAACGCTGTGAACAAGGACTACCCAGCACCTCTTCTCTGATGTTGTCCCGTTCCTTCACGTTTTTAATTTCCTGGTGTGTTAAAATATTCTCCCTCTCCTCCTCCTCAAAATACCTGGCACATTGACGTGGACTTTCATGTGTGTATATAGAACCTGAACCGTTTTTTACTTTTGATCGTTTTATGTTTTATGATCGTTAGTATGTAATCCAGAATTGGTTCCGTGCCGACTTGTTCTCTTATGATCTAATTCCTGATCTTATCTCTTTTGGTCACTCCTACAGCCCTTCTCAGACATCTCATTTCCGTGGTTACTAATTTTCTTTTATAGTTAAAAAAAAATCCCTTGGCAGTTGTAAATCGAAAAGAGTAGCCTAACGGTTCTGCCCGGGCAAAATTGGGAGTTAAAAATCCACCCAAAGTATTTCAGGATCCTCGCCGGTGCTACAGAGCCTGTGCACTGTGTTGGGCTTCTTCGGTGAGTTAGAAGAAGAGCGGAGTACTTACGGGTTACTACCCGTGTGCCATGACGTTGATCCGTTGTTCAAAACCTCAGACCTCAAACCCCTATGACAGGATAACAGAACATCTAATACTGTATTCTCTGGTCAATCAATACCGCACCGTCTCCACAATCAAAGTTCAGAGAAATGAATCTCAAACAATCTTGGTCTATCGTCCTTGTACAATCTCGCTGACTTGTTTATCTATTTCTTGGAATTATCCTTCCACTTCTACCGCTTTCTTTATCATGCTTTCAACTGTCCTTTCAAGTCTCATTTTCCTAAGTGTTATGTCATAATTATACTATAAAACGGACAATATTTCATTTACTTTTTGGGGGCGATTGGAGTTGGGGAGGGGAGAGGAGGGGGGGGGGGAAGGGTGTAAACTGTTTTTCAACATCTTACTATGCATTTCCAGTCACAGAAAAACCCATGTATTCATATGTGATTGTGTGTGGTAGAAATACGACATAGTAGTATTTATATCTGCAGTCTCTTTCTATAACCTCCCAGTTGCTTGTTCTTTCTCCAGCTTTGTGCGTAATTCTCTCCAAGCTAGCCTCTCTTTTTGTTACTGATACAAGAAGTTACATGTAATGTATTCTGAAGATAAATACAAACCTTAAAGGCAGTATCCAAGATTTCAAGTGTAGCTTCGTCTCGTGTCCCAACCAAGCGATGTGTGTACATCATTTCTGAGAAAAAGAAAAAGAAAAATATCATAAAATGAAATTCGCCTTGCGGTTTCTGGGGCGCTATGGATTGTTGGAAGGAAGGGGGGCCGTGGGGGGGGGAGGGTGGAGGGGTAATTACACCTAGGGCTGCTTAACAAGCATGTCATAAAAGGCGACTTATTAGGGATTTGATAAACTCAGATGTGCTGGACGGAGAAGTGCAGATATCACAGCGTGGCTGTACATCATAAAATTCTTTTTATATTGAATTAAAAATCGACATCACAACACAACGTATAATATAAGAATAAGTTGTATTTTTAAAAAATCGCTCTTTTTCTAGAGTAATTGAAGAAGCAGCAGCAGAAAAGAAGAGGAAGAAGAAGAAGAAGCAGAAGAAGAAGAAGAAGAAGAAGAAGAAGAAGAAGAAGAAGAAGAAGAAGAAGAAGAAGAAGAAGAAGAAGCAGAAGAAGCAGAAGAAGAAGAAGAAGAAGAAGAAGAAGAAGAAGAAGAAGAAGAAGCAGAAGAAGAAGAAGGAGGAGGAGGAGGAGGAGGAGGAGAAGAAGAAGAAGAAGAAGAAGAAGAAGAAGAAGAAGAAGAAGAAGAAGAAGAAGAAGAAGAACAAGAAGAAGAACAAGAACAAGAACAAGAAGAACAAGAAGAAGAAGATGAAGAAGAAGAAGAAATAAATAGTTCTCTTTGTCTTCAAGTGGCTTTAATTTTATATTGTTACCCGAAACGGCACTGATCATAAGGCATAGAACAAGCTCACATAGTGACAAATAAATTATCAAAAACTAAAAGCAGGCAACACTTGTGTTTCATATTGACGTTGCACACAACACGCGCCTACAGGTGTAGAAGTCACACAGTTTCTTACATCCATCACAGCTGCCTGTGAGAACTCAATTAGGCATGGTTCCTACAAAACACCATCTGTCACTGGCCAGAGATTCTGGACACTTTCTTTTTAGCTTTTTTGTATTATGTATATTTTGTTTTTATGAAGTCTAATGCTTGGTTGTAACATTAGGATATGGGAAATAAATCAACAAACAAATAAAGTCTCATTATTCATTGAATCACAGGAAATTAGCATCAATTAAACGATACTCTACAATTAAAATGTATTTATATTAGAACCCACAGGGGAATAAGAATTAAAAAAAAAAAAAAAAAAACCACATGTAAAAGGGAGTTGGAGAATGAAGTTAGAAAGACGGGGAGGACATGGGAAGAGCTGCATGCGATAGCAAAGGATAGAACGCTTGGCGTGAGTTAGTTGAGGGTCTATGCTCCACTAGGAGCTAGAAAGGAAGAAAAAGAATAAACGAGACTCTAGGCCCGAGCTTTCCCAATTGTTCATGTTGGCGCTATACTTTTTTAGACACACGTTTCCTTGCTAAGAGCGAGTGGATAAAATCCTTGAAAAGGTCTTAGCTCAGCAGGGTTAACTATTTAGCACACCAAGCACGTGCTCATGGCATCACAAAGGATGGGGGTGCAACATACATGCTCAGTAGCCTTGGAGATGAGCGTCCACTTTTTCAACTTAAGTATATTAAACAAAACACAAATCCCACCAGAACAACAATTGCAACAAGGCAAGCTGGAAGCCTTGTCTCTATTAAGTATGTAAGCAGATGTGTTACACAAGATGCATTTTACGGATCTGAGCCCATATACTAATTCGACGGCTTGGGGAGAGCAGCAAGGGGTGGGGGGGGGGGGGGGGGGTGGTATCAAAATCTAATAAGTGCTTGGAGGGGGGGGGGGGAGGGGTACCAAAAGAAATATGTTGTGCTTAAAACATCAAGGGGTCTCAAACCGTCTTGCCTGATCCCCCCGCCTCCCCACAGCTTCCAACGCCACTGCGGTGGGTATCGAAAGCCTTTCAGTGCCAGACCGATAGACAGTGTTCCAGTTGCAATGGAAACAGAGACTGCCGGAAAGTGACCTAGAGTACCAAGTGCTTCAAATAGCTGCATGATCAAAGCCGCGGTAAGAAAATGTGGCTGACATGACATTGATGACATAACCCATAAAGTGTGGAAGTTCTTTACAGTGTAATGAATATCTAATACACAATGCTTTTCGACGCGTAGACAAAGAGCTTTTACATTAACTAAGCAACAACCTCTCATCCTGAATTTTATTGATTTTATTGGACTTTTTGGAATGCTGCGAAATGGCCGCCAACATAATACGCATCATTAAAACTTTATTTGATGGTTCAGCATGTTCAGTACGGACTGAAAATGGTCTAAGCGACTGATTTTATGATGGACACAGAGGTAAAACGCGGCGGCATTCTAACCCGCTTGTTGTTCGACGTAGTCAATGACTGGGTAATGATAAAATGTTGCAAAGGCAATATTGGCAGAGAACAGACAACAAAAAGATCTCGATTTCGCAGATCATACTGTTTTGTTAAGTAAAAATAACAAAGATATACAAAGAAAAACAGACGATTTGTCGTAATCAGCATCAAGAATAGGACTGCAAATTAGATATTAAAAAAAAAAAAAAAAAAAATATGTTGAAGATATCAACAACAGACCGTGTAGATGTCATACTAGAGAACAAACCAAAAAAAAAAAAAAGATACATTAGGCACACTCTGGGACGAAATGAGCAAAACAATACAAAACAATCACAGAAATGGGAAATACACGTTCTGAAAAAAAAGAGGACATCTAAGGAAACCATGTGAAGAATATTATTACAACACAACAGAATGATGGGCACTACTGCATGTCAGAAATCGAGAGAGTTGCATGCAATAGAGTGGAGCCCCATGTACCGTCTATGTACACAAAGGATGATGATGATGATGATAATGAAGTCTGTCATTACAACTTTAACGATTAGTAAATACGTCGAAAAAGTCTTCAAAGCGACGGAATGTATTTTTTTTAGTACGGAAACACACCTAAAATTTGATGGACAATAACTATGTGCAACCTAGAAGGCAATGACAATCAAACTACTGCAGTAGTAGTAGTAGTAACAATGATGGTTATTCTTGTAAGAAAAGAAAAGGGAGAAGAAGAAGCCTAGGAAAAAGAAGAAGTAGAAGAAGAAAAACAACAACAAAAATAATAGCTAAGCGCAGAAGAAACCTTTCCTACACATATTTCACTTCTACAAATGAAACATTCATTTTTTTGCAGTTTGTACAGCTTTGGCAATCTAAACACCAATTCGTCAGACGAGATTTAAATATCGGTTTCCGAAACAATTTTCAAGCAAACAACATACCAACGGACTCCAGTTAGCTCAAATCTTGGATTATTTATGTACCCTTCACCGTAAACTGCTCATTATGTTTGAAACATACTGGTATGTTTCCGTCCACAGTTAAAAGCACAGTACAGATGATCTAATCTAGGGCAATTAACGCTAAGAGCCATGGCGTTTTTAACGAGCCATGAAACATGTATCAGACAGCTGGAAGCGTCGCTTTTGTTTGCCGCGAATGATGTATAGTATTTGTAAAAGATTAAGCTACAGTCTAAAGCGGTGAACTCAACAGAGGCGGGAAAGAGAAAAATGAACACGGAGTTTAATGACCTATGGTATATGAAAAGGACACTTTGCCTGGTATTCAGGCTTATTGGTTTGTCTTCAAGTATATTGCTGTTACACACACACATACGCACACACACACACACGCGCGCACTCCCATACAAGCACGCACTCACACACACACAAACACATAATGTTTTTGCTCCCTCAAGGGTCTCATTCTGTTTATTTATATGTATATAGGGCTAGACGTATATTTTATAGACCAGTCGGCACTCAGAGGGTGATGCGGTCAACATCACGCCGGCAGCCTTTACTTTCCAGCACTTAACCTACGACTTTACATTTAGGGCTTGGGTCGATCTGAGAGCCAAAGTCATTTTTGAAGCAAATGTTCGGTTCCTTCAGGACCTGAACCCTAGACCATCGGATGGGCAGGCGAGTGTAGCGAGAAAGAGAAACTAGATAAATTCATTATTTTGAGTTTGAAAACTCAAGCTGTCACACTTTAACAAATATCTTGAAAAACTCATGTACGGATTAACGCGAGTTTTTGCATGATTAGATTTCCCTTGTCTTTAGGATTTTATAGTTTGCAATTGCATCGATACTGCTTTTTCTAAAAACAGCGAATTTCTTTGATCTTTGCTTGACTAATAATTTATGTATCCCTTTTATGTGTGTGTATATATATATATATATATATATATATATATATATATATATATATATATATATATATATATATATATATATATATATATATATATATATTTATACACACACACACACACACACACATATATATATATATATATATATATATATATATATATATATATATATATATATATATATATATATATATATATATATTTATATAGTAATTGACACACGTGTAGAGATTGTTTGGAAATCAGCTCACATGTTTAACGGTACGTAATGATTATTTTGATAGCCTATTCCACACTCAATTAAAACAAAAACCAGCAACTCACGGTCAACTAACACTAGATAACCTTCTGAGAGTGAAACGACTATGAAAGGCGTGCGATTTAATGTTTCCAAAAGTTCCCCCTTTTCAGAATGTTGAGTTCGGAGGGAAAAAAAAGGCAGATTTTTGTAACTGACATAGGGATTATGGTAAAGCCAGTAGCAGGAAAAGTCATGGGAAGTAAAGCCAGTGGCGAAGCGTAATCACATCGCATGAGTAAGCATTAGCAGGTAACGGTTACTATGAGACGGTGTTATGTGATGTTTTCTGCCTCGTCGATTCCTTGCTTAGAATATTCGTGAGCAGCTATCAATGTGAGCAAAAGTAACTGGTCGCTTCCACATGTTACTTAGGGTTTTTAATTAGGGGCGTAAGCTTTTGCGAGCGTTCTTTTTACTTTGGTGGAGACGTAACCTGTGTGTCGTATTTATAATAAAAAGTAAACAGTAATAATAAATAACATTTAAAAAAAAAAAAAAAAAAAAAACACACACACA